GGATTATAGGCACGTGCCACCACGCCTAGCTAATTTTGTATTTTTACTAGAAACAGGGTTTCTCCATGTTGGTCAGGCTGGTCTCCACCCACCCCGTCCTCCCAAAGTGCTGGGATTACAGGCGTGACCCATGACTGAATCCACACTTCCAAAGGTGTATAGTAGAGGGATATTTTTGGAGATTTTTGATATCTATTGTAATATTTTCCTCCAGAAAATCTATCGTAATTCTACTCTTATTAGAATTTTACTAGACCCTTCCAATACTGGGTACTAGCATGTAAAAAATGCCAAACTGATAGGTTATTGTGTCAACTTGCACTTTTTTTGTATGAAATTCTTGCCTTTTGAAAAGCTTGGGGCTGAGTACAGTGACTCATATCTATAATCCTAGCACTTTGGGAAGATCACTAGAGCCCAGGAGTTGATCAGCCTGGGCAACATGGCAAAGCATTGTGTCTACAAAAACCATAAGTTAGCCAGGTGTGGTGGTGCTTTCCTATAGTCCCAGTTCCTCCGGAGGCTGAGGGTCAGCTGAGCCTAGGGGGTTGAGGCTGCAGTAAGCTACAATGGTGCCACTGCATTCCAGCCTGGGCAAGAGAGTGAGACACTGTCTAGAAACTATTTGTGTGCATTTTGGTTGGATCATGAGAGGTCTTTGTTCTGTGCTCTCAGATTTAAGAATTACTTATTTCCTGCTTATAGAATAGACAAAAGAGGCTGGACATAGTGTCAAGATGCTGGAGAGAAAACTCCTATGTTTTCTCTCCACCTTGGCTTCTCAAACCGATTCTCCATTTTCTATTAGATTTGTGTCGCCTCTCTTTTTCTATTTAGAGTGGTCCTTGCTTGAAGTAGATTATTTATTTGTCAAATGAATTTTTTTACAAATCAGTAAAGTGTCTCAGTTACTGAGAAAAATAGATTCAAGATAAAGAAAATTATCTTAAATGGATTTAAATTTGCAGCATTAGCTGAGAAACCTGTCAAGTGTCTCTCTCTACCAAATAAGCATATATTCATTTAGAACCACTAGAAACATACCTCACCCCTGCTGGAAGCTATTTCGTGTCCCTGGACTTTTGCTCTCCGAAACATCTGTCTGTTTTTATTTGCTGATGCTCTCTGATTAGCCTTTCTTATTCGGACATTGGCAAATAAACATGGCCCTGTTTTTTTGTACTTCTATGAGAATGAAAATGCCTCCAAAACGAGGTTACTAGAAATGAGCCGGTTGAACAAGTATTATCATGTGCCAGATGGTTTTCTCCACACTAGAGCTAGATCATTTGATGAAGCACAGTCCTTGCCTACTTACTTCTTGTCTGAGGGGAAGACAGATATACAAGCAGGTCAGTATAGCACAAGGTATGTGCTGGCTAGACACTCATGCAAGATGTGCAGGGCAGGTCTGAGAAAAATTTTTGTTTGAGATAATGCCTGAAGGATCATTAAGGGATAGAAAATTGAAGACTAGGGGGCCAGATGTGGTGGCTCGTGCCTGTAATCCCAGCACTTTGGGAGGCTGAAGCGGACAGATCACCTGAGGTCAGGAGTTTGAGACCAGCGTGGCCAATGTGGTGAAATTCTGTCTCTACTAAAAAATACAAAAACAGTAGCTGGGCATGGTGGCATGTGCCTGTGGTCCCAGCTACTTGGAAGGCTGAGACAGGAGAGTTGCTTGAAACTGGCAGGTGGAGGTTTGTAGTGAGCTGAGATCATGCCCCTGCACTCTAGCCTGGGTGACAGAGCGAGACTCTGTCTCAAAAAAGAAAAAAAAAAAAAGGAAAATTGAAATTAGGAGAGGGATAAGGGTGGACCAGGCAGGAGAACAGAAGAAGTGCACTTGGTTGAGGGGGGTGGGTATAAGGAACAGTAATGTGGCATACACAGGGAGGAACCCATACCCCGATATTGCTGTGTGGTATAGCATGATGGCTTGAACATACCATTTATATGTCAACCTTCCTGAAACCTTATTAAAATGATAGGAAAGGAATAGAGAGAAAAAAGCAAGTCAGGTGATGATCAGGGAAGAGACGTGTACAAAATTTTGGAAGATGGAAACAGGATGGGCTAATGGTAACTGACAGAGTAAGTGGGGTGAAGCTGAGACCCAACCTCCCACATGAGGTGGGTGGGGGTGGTGAGAGCAGAAGAATGCAGTGTAGCCAGGAGCCCCAGAGACTCAGGAATTGGAGGGAACAGGCATTTCTGATGGCTGGAGGGGGATTTGAGCAGAAGGGATGCAGTTAGCAGGTATGTCCCTAGATCCTTTCTTCAACTGTGCACAGCCAGCGACTGCCCTTTTTCATCTGGCGCAATATGGGAGGTTTACTCCCTGGAGAAGATGAACTGTGGTTCATAGAGGTGACCTTGGACAGAGGATATCAAGGCCGCATATGAAATGGAGTGACTTTCCAGCTCCATTACCCCTCTCTTACTCCTATAAGCAAGAGTTTGAAGAATCTACTTAGAGAAAATTATTCAGCCTAAGGAAAGGGCTGATAGATCTGACAGCTGGGGGTACCCCCAAAATGACTGGGTTCTGCTCGTTAACTATTAGTATAGCATGCCTGTTGTAAGGCTTCATCCTTTTATGTAAGGCAATCCTACTGTAAAATAAGAAAAGAAAGGCAGGATCACTTGACATCTCATCAGAGTCTTTGTTATAACAGATGTTAACAACAACAACAGAAAATGGTAAACAGAAACAACAAACTTTAAAACTATAATGAATGACTTAGGAGGTCATAGAATGTTTTGTTTTCTTATAAACCAAGAGTAAATAGATACATTAAGATACTAGTCATAAGGCCAGGTGTGGTGGCTCATGCCTATATTCCCAGCACTTTGAGAGGCCAAGGTGGGTGGATCCTTTGAGGTCAGGAGTTTGAGACCAGCCTGGCCAACATGGTGAAACTCTGTCTCTACTAAAAATACAAAAACATTGATGGGCATGGTGGCGCATGCCTGTAATCCCAGCTACTTGGGAGGCTGAGGCAGGAGAATCGCTTGAACTGGGGAGACAGAGGTTGCAGTGAGCTCAGATTGAGCCATTGTACTCCAGCCTGGGCAACAGAGTACCACTCTGCCTCAAAAAGAAAAAAAAAAATCACAAAATAAAAAACAAAATTTAAAAGTTAAAAGTTAGTTAGACCTGTAGTCCTAGCTACTCAGGAGGCTGTGGTAGGAGGATCACTTGAGCCTAGGAGTTAGAATCCAGCTTGGGCAACATAGCAAGACCCTATCTCTAATGAAACAAAAATTAAATAGAAATAAATAATTCAATAAAAAGTTGGAAGACAGCACTGAGAAATGTTTTAAAATACAGAAAAAAAAAGAAATGAAAAGTAGGAGAGGAAAGATCAAAAGAAATTAGATCAGTCCAGTAGGCTCAACATCCACTAATGAGAAAATCAGAACAGAGAGAAGAAAGTCATCAAACAAATGAGGCAAGAAAACTTCCCAGAACCGTAGGATGTGAGCTTTC